CACACACACACACACACACACACACACACACACACACACACACCCACCTTGCCAACCTTATTAGGAAGACCACAATATGGGGATCGTCAGGGACTGTGTCCGGCTCTATCCTCTGCACAACACGGTGCAATTCCACATGTATGGAGCTTTGCAAAACCTGCCAACTGTTTTCTTCACGCTCCATGCTGTCCTGGGACATGGCGGTGCTTCCCACATGCTGTTCTGCCCTTCTCTCATGCCTGAGCCGAGTTCACCACCTCCCCTCCTCAGGTGGGGCACAAGAGGAAACACCGGCATATATTTGCCTTCCTGTCTACGATCCGTCAATCCCTCTGCCTTCTCTCCGCGGTTACACGATGCCAGCTTCCTTTCTCCGGAGGCTGAACCTGGCTAGTTACTTAGAATTCTACCTCTGATCTGCTTGGTCACAAACAGTACATGCCTAATTCTGCATTTCTACACCTCCCGTTTCCCTATAATATACCCTCTTCCACCTCCACTTCATCCATTCAGGTCTATCAGAGGCACTTCCTCCTTAGGTCGTCCTATATTCTCCCCGTCCAGTAATTGCTCGATTGCCTCGTGTACTCCTCCCTGTTGCCATTCGTCACCGCCATTCTCTTGGCATGACTGACGGTAATCCTCATGCTCGCAGTTCTGTGGCGTCACGAGTCTGGTCTCTGCCTCCCCCTTCTCCATGCTCGCTTTTTTCTTGTTAGCCTTTTGCTGCGCTCCACTGCTGCGTACACCTTTCCTGTTCGTTCCGCATTTTCTGTGTCCCTTCTGCCCCTCATCCTTTGTTCTTCTCTCCGTCTCACTCACAGCATCGTGGTTATGCATTGATCCTCTCGCTGTTGTCGGCAAATTGCCCTCTGCCTGCACTCCCTCCAACGCATGTGCAACATCATCCCCCCCCCCCCCGTCAAGGTTCACAATGAGCTTCTTGACCCCCTTCCGACGGCTTGGCACCTCACCAACTGTCGTCCTCTCACCTCGAGCACTTGATCGTGATACTTCTGACAGTGCACGTGCCTCGCCTGTGTTGCCGGAGTCCTCTGACATCCTTTTCAGTGATTCTGACAGCTCTGCCGCAGGGTAAGCCTCGTCGCGCAAGTCTTCCACAGAAGAAGATGAATAGCTCTTCTTCGATGAAGACGACGGCGACGACAAGTAGTAAATTTCATTCTTCTGCCTGTGCTCGTCGAGTTGCAGCTTAGCAGCAGCCGCCACGGCAGGGTTCCCTGCCTGCTTAGGCCTTCTCTCCCTAAATGTGATGGTTCCAGTCTCATCACCTTCCCATACACCATATCTGCACCCTGCTTTTCGCTCGTTCTCTTCCGTTCCGAGCACTTCGTCCAGCGAGTCCAACGACTCCTCAAGGACAAGGCAATCTGGGACAGCAACGCGTTTCTGTGCATTTCGGGAAACTGCAACCATTTGCTCTTCGCGGAACACTCTGCACATTGTCAGCAGGATGTACCGTCCCTCCGAAAACAATTGCCGATGGTCTGCGGACGTTCTCGCCTGATTCGCAGCGGTATTCCATTCTTCTACTGGGATTACCGCTCCGCTGTCGGGAACACCCAAGTGGTCGAGCACAGAGGTAAGGTTCCCGAGCCGTTCGCGCACTTCCAGGTCCACAGACTCTGAGAACATATCGATGTGAGCCCGGATCAAGTACCCCAATCCGTCTACCTCTGTTCGGTCCCACCCTGAGTTGGGTCCCCTCCTGTGCCCAGACACGTCCCGCCCTCCTCCAGCGATGCCCGACCCTGACCCCGATCCTCGCTTTTGCCTTTCTCTCTCATTTTTTGCCATAGCTAAACCTGATCCGCTTCTGTCCCGGGATGGCAGAGCCCCTTTTCCGACGGCAACAGGGGGTGGACTCGAGAGAGAAGGTGACCGCAACTGTTTCTCTGACAGTGATGTCTCCACTGCCACGTCGTCGCCGGTAGGCTCTGTGTCGCTTCCAACACTGACAGCTCGTGCACCCCCATCGCTGCCCTGTCCTCCCCTTTCCAAGACGTTTTCGGGGACATCGTTATCCGGGAGGTTTGACATATCCTGCTGACTTTCTGCCGCTGTTTCAGAAGACGGTTCCAAGGGCGTGGAGGAAGGAGCGTCTGTGACACTGCTCCCATTCCCACTCCCCCTCCCAACAGGGATGTTGCCACCGACGGTGGAGCCCTTCTCTGTTGTGGCAGGGAGCGCAGCAGACTTTGGCTGCAGATTTGAGCTTCCATCAGACACTACTGCTGATGCTGGAGAGGACGAGGAAGATGGTGACTCTGAGGCGACTGTGAGGGGAAGCTTTGGTAAGTTGCTTCCTCCAGATCCGTAAGGAGATTTTCGGGAGCGAGGGCTATTAGGCGTTCCTCCTCGTTGACCTTGATTGCTCCTCGATCTACCTCGGGGGGAGCGCGATGGCGCTACATACAACATCCTATCGTTTCTCGTCGATGCATACACATAAATCTTGAGAATGGCTTGCAGGTACACAGCCTGCACACGAGCTGGAAGGAGCTTCACCCTCGGCTGGAGCAATGCCTCCAGCATTTGCCGGTGATCTGCAACATGAGGGGCATACTCCCCCGTTGCCCATGCAGCGGCAGCGAGGACATGGTGGACAGTTGGATGTTTTGGCGGCCCACCGAGTAGAACGGGGTCGATGAGCAGACTGCGCAGTTGATTGACAGCCTCAGCTCGGACACCCTCAACTCTCAGGATGATTTCAACCCATTGCCTTGCCACCTCGTGACCATGGATACTTTCCGGAATCTTGGCGAGGTCGACGAGCACCGCGACATACCATCCAAAGTCGTGGAGCATGCGATAGTGATCGCGGCCGCACATGGAGAGTATTGACGAGACAAGATCGTCACGCAGGCCTCCGTCTGCAGAACGCATGAAGCGCAACAGCACGCGGACGGTATCCCTTAGACTAGACTCGCTCACCATTGCAGTCAGCAAACTGAGAGACATTCGCTGAACGCAGGGGTCCAGCCGGTCCAGACAACCAAGGACTGAATCCTTGTAGGGCGCAATGACAGCCACATGCTGGGGCATCAGGTGGGATAATGCTCGCAGTCCCAAGTATTTGAGATTCTGGTCCCCACTTCCGAGGAATTCGCGAAGTTTGAGAACGCACACTTTGACCAGGCCCACGTGGTTCGGCAACGCGACAGTAATCGTGCGGACGCATTCAAAAATCAGGGATCTGGCTTGAGTCTTCGTCAGGATTGCGTGCAATGGATCAGCGAGCTTGCGGCCGAGCCGAGACTCTAGAGGTGCAAGGATGCCAAAGATCTTCACCAGCTTGATGACCAGCCAGGTGTTCGAGGAAGAGATCAACATCTGATAGAGGTCCGGCGCAAGAGGAAGGTAAGGAGCTGGGTCGCAAACAGCCATCTCACACAAGGTGCTCACGGCTGCACACTTGACACTGATATCACTATCGTCCATCCGCTCAGTCAGCCTGCGGATTGTCATACGCAAACAGTCAGGGTAGCGGCGAACAAAGTGGACAAGCGCAGCAGCAGCTTTCTTCTTCAGGTAGGGACGGCCGCTGTTCAGCAACCCAAGCACATCAGCCAGAAGCTCCCGAGCGAGGTCGGGAGTGACGATACTTGCCAGACAGTTCAGTGCCATGCCGGCTTCGTATTGATTGGGACTGGCAAGGTCTTTCCTAAGCAGGTTAGTAATGAGCAGCATAACATCAGTATCGTCGTTGAAGAATTGGCTAGCGGCCTGATAACCGACTTGCCGGTGAGAAAAGCGCGGCAGACTCATGACCTCTATCACATTGAAGGCGGCCCACGACACGTCAAGCCCCTGCAGCATCTGAATATACATTAGTTTCTGCAAGGCAACAGTCTTCACATGGGGGTCGTTGAACTTGATCTCGCGGCGAACATCCGCCATCGCTTGAGCGAGATACCGACCCTCGCCGACCATTGTGACACGCAGCCCTTTCACCAGATCGGGCAGGTTCTTCTGGAACAGGGAATCCATGATGGACTAGCCTGTCGTCTCGTCCAGCTGGGCAGGCAGGATGAGCTGCTTGCAGGTAAAACCAATAACGCTGCTACCGCATACAATCCCCACCGCCTCTCATGCCAGACGTCACAGTTAACAGTGACCGGCCGCTACACCTACTCAAAAATTGCCGTGTCATCAACGCAAGCCCCACAGCCGGCAGACACCTCACTGCCTTGTAGCCCATAGATACGTATAGGCTGCCATGGATACATATAGGCTGCCATTCCAACTTGCTTGGACTTCAAGAGCAGGAACTAGAGAAGGTACACAGTCCGGGGAGGGGGTCAGAGCAAGCAGGAAGCGGAGAGACGGAAGGGGTAAAGAGGAGGAGGGGATGAAAGCACGGGACAGAATGCTCGCAGTTATGAAATGCAATGCTAACCTGTGCCTGGAGCAAAGCAAAATGCGTGTCTCCGCTGAACAAGGAGAGCTAACTACGGCAAAGCACAGCGCGCGCCCAAAACCACCTACTCAACACTCCTTTCACCTCCTAACCACCTCTGCGCAATTCCAGAGGGATCATCCCACATGCACTGATGCACTGGTGAGAACAGATCACACAGCTGCTGTGTGTGTCTAGTTTGTGTGTGACGACGAGTGACCACCTCCCCTCTTTTCTTTCAAATCGTAAAGGATAAGGATTGTTCTTCTCAACAGCCGCAGCTGCTCTAAGAGCTCCACAGCCGCTGATACCCCCCTAGCAGTGTTATGGGTTTTACCTGCAAGAGAGAGAGAGAGAGAGAGAGATGTATCTTTCTTGCCGACTCACGGCACACATCCTTTCCACCCCCCAACCCCCCCCCCCCCCCCCCCCCCCCCCCCCCCCTCCCCGCTCCTAACGCGCACACACACACCCCTCCACCTGTGCCTTCCCACAAGCCACGACACCAGCTCAGAAACCCAGTGTCCAGAATCAATTACAATAAACCAAACATTCGAACGCACCCAAGATGAACAGCTACGACTTGCCGATGATGCACCGTCTTTGCAGCACCCCCAACAGCCATAGCTGGCTACAGTACTGCTGCCAGTACTACCACCTAGCACACCACTTCTACTGTTCCCTGCTTATCCTACTTCAGCAGCGAGGAGTGAAGAACTAGGGATGCTGGTCTTCCGCCAAAGGGGGATTGATGCGGCCATCGGGTCGGGCGATGATACTATGTTGTATGGGTAGAGGTACCAAGGGCCTCGGGCGGATGAGGCAGTGCATCAGCAAACCAACAACACGGAAAGAACAAAGACAAAGCCGAAGATGACCTTCTGCAGGGCCCGGGGGGGGCAAGGGGAGGGGAAGGGGCAGAATAGACCTACCTCTTTCTATCACACGAAACCCACCAAGGCAGGCATCTGATGACATACACAGACTACGACTTCTTCAACTCAATGTGGATCTCTTCACACTCCAAATACATTCTGGAAAGCCGGACTGCAAGATGTGCCAAGTCTGGCCTTGCAAAGTCAATACGAGTAACAGACAGCGATGCCGCGAACGTCAAGTGTGTGAGCAGCAGGACAAATTTGATATCTGCACCTGTCCCCGCGCACCCAAGAGCGCTCCACCATGGCAGTTTGTGCCAAAGCAAGCAAAAACATCCCCCCCAGCGCCCAGATGAGGACGGGTGGGGGACGGAGAGAGAAAAAAACACGAAACTAATGGCAGAGAGCCGCAAAGCAGATGTGACTCTTGTTCGCCGCTCTTGTCCACAAACTCGTAAAATGTTGAAAAGGTCGATAGAGGACAACGACGGGGTGACGGAAAACACATCTGCTGACGTGGTGTCCTCTACCTATACAAAGTACATAGAGGACAACGACGACGTGACGGAAAACACAGCTACAGAATTTCAGGCGCTGAACACTTTGCCAGAAAGAAAAAATAGTCCGGCACATTCATTTGACGGGACGGATTGCTTGATTAACAGATACACACAGGTTCAAAAATGAATGAACAGATTCGTATGTATGTAGAGAAGAATGAGCAACTTGGAAGAAGGTGGTCATAGCAGTCGTAAAATAATAATCAGAAGAATAATGAGCTTCAAGCCCTCAACAGAAAAAAATCAATCGACAAGTTAACGACAGGATATGGGTGTGCCGTCGCTGTTCTTCGGACACCTGAAAAAAACGCCGAAAAGATCACGACCTGCACACAGAAGAAAAGGATGCAGAAAAAAACGATTTAGGTTCTCATATTCTGACAGCAAGCATAAGCCACTTTTGCTTTCTTAGAGGGAATAAGAGGAAGTCCTATCCGTCGTGAGAGCGGTGGGAATCGAACAGCAGAGGGGCACTTTAACAAAAGAGGCATGGCGACACACTCAGCTGGCTGGTTGATTAATTGATGGATTGATTACTTGATGGATTGATGGATTGATGGATTGGTTCGCTTGATTGGTTGATCTGTTTATCAATGAATTGGATGGATTGGTGGGTTGGTAGATGGGTCGATGGGTGGATGATGGGTGGATGATGGGTGGATGATGATGGGTGGATGGGTGGATTGATTGATTGATTGATTGATTGATTGATTGGCGGGTTGGTGATGGATGGATTGATTGAGTGGTTGACTGGTTGGTTGATTGATGACCGGATCGGATTTATGGATTGATTGATTGATTGGTGGGTTGATTGACTGACTAATCGATAGGTTGATTTATGGAAAAGCTGAAATTCTGCAGCCGTGTAGAAGAAGAAGAAGAAGAAGAAGAAGAAGAAGAGGGATTGAGAATTTCAATTGTAAACATAGTGAAGCTACCACTACTCATCCATGGATAAGATCAAGGTCGTCGTCGCATAACCTGCACAGGCATAGCCATAGCCAAAGCCCCAAACATGCACATTCCGAGAGAGAAGCAGTGGCAACAACCTACACAGGCGTGGCCATAGCCAAAGCTCCAAACAAGCTCATAACCTGCACAGGCATAGCCATAGCCAGTAACCTCACTATTTTCAACATGTGCCATAACGAAAACATTTTTTGAACCTGCACAGGAGACGATGAAGAAGAAAAGAAATTGACAGAAGAAGAAGAAAAAGAAGAAGAGGAAGAAGCTGGAGGGTCAGGAGGAGGAGGAGAAGAAGAAGACGGAGGAGGAGAAGAAGAAGAAGAAGAAGAAGACAGAGGTGGAGAAGGAGGAGGAGGAGGAGAAGGTAAGAGAATAGAGGAGGAAGGCCGGGCTTGCATTGTTACACGTGGCACCGTTGCACGCACACGTCCGCAGCATCATGATCGGAGGGAGGGCCATCACGCGAGGTATCCAGCAGCATACCATGTGGCAGGGACAAGCGAATCGGGATTGGAGCGGCATCAGCAGGCGACGAGGGTTGGAAGGGGGGGGGGGGGGGGGGGGAGGCGAGGGGAAGGGACGAACAATAGCTGCGGAAGAAAAGGGGGGGGGCATCATTCGCCAGCGAAGACATATCAGGAAAGGAGCTGTGGCAGACAAAAAAAAAAAAAGGAAAAAGAAGGAAAAACGGAAAAGAAAAGAAAAAGAAGAAAACGAATTACCGAGAGAGTGATTAGTGTGCTTGATTAGTACTTCAGTAGCACTTGATTAGCACTTGATTAGTGCTTGACAAGTGGGCGTCATTAGTGTGGTTGATTAGTGTGCTTGATTAGCGTGGTTAATTAGTGTGCTTGATTAGTATGCTTGATTAGTGTGCTCAATTAGTGTGCTCGATTAGTGTACACGATTAGTGTGCACGATTAGTGTGCTCGATTAGTGTGCACGATTAGTGTGTTTGATTAGTGTGCTGGACTAGTGCGTTCTTGGCATGCAAAATCACCACCTGGCTGCCACTCAACATGTATGTATATTCGTGGTGTTTTATTTTCTTTAACTTTTATATATTCATAGAATATGTGACAATGTATATTGTCAAACAGAACTGCCCGGTAGCCGGTATATCGTCAAAGAGGGAGAAGAGGACAGCAAACGAGGGGCTGTGACAAACTGTTTCGTCGGAGTTTCACCAACTGACTCATCAGGAGGCTGAACCCTCAACAGTCTGCAGAATCCCATAACCTGATGATTACACTGTTAAGTGATAATCCACCTTAACCCCGGTTGTGGTTAAGCATCAACGACTGCCCGACAACTGATACCCCTCTGAGGTGGTGGGGACCACCAACCAGTGGCCCTGAAGGTACCTGTGACGAAAATCCAAGCAGACTATCACTCACTCCCACCAGATGGAAAATTCCACAGACTGTCGGTTCACACCCCATCACAAGCCAGCACAACACCCACGAAACAGAGGAAGGTCTATCGCAGCCAAAAAATACACTCCAGACACGCCGCTGGCCCTAGAGGCACAGCATGCCTGCGCAGTGACGGCCCCGACCAATGACGCTCAACCTGACCTGAGAAAACGGTAGCAGGGTATATCGTCAAACAGAGCTGCCCGGTAAACCGTAGACAGAGAGGGGGAGGGAGAAGAGGACAATAAACGAGGGGCTGTGTGTGTGTGTGTGTGTGTGTGTGTGTGTGAGAGAGAGAGAGAGAGA